AACTAGTCCCATGGTGGCAAATTTCCTTCTGATCAACAAGGGTGGTGACTGTCTGTGGTGGTGACGACCTGGGACAGATTTTGGCTGGGTCGACTTCGGGATTCCAGGGAACCACAATAGCAAACCAGCAAGACTCCCAAAAAATGGAAATTGTGCTGAGACCCACACAACCAGAACAACAGCCCGAACCACGGGCCTAAGTAAGCTCAATGAACCACATGCAGCAGGTATAGACTTATGGGAACAGTTGCAGCTTTAGTGTGAGTGAAAAGAACAGCAGTAAGACTTTCTTGGACTGATACTACAGCATAAAGAACTATGTAACTAGGTTTATCTCCATTGGATTGATTTAAGAACATAGTCATCATAAGCGGGGTTATATTTAATGAACAGTAGATAGAAAACGCTACAGTATTCTGCGAATACTTACAACGGAGATACACTGATTAAAGCAGTGAAAAGGACCTATTTTTGCAAAACTCGCACTCTTACTCAACTCGAGGTCATATAAGTAAATGCTTGCAAGAAATGTGTAGTGTATGCACAAGGACGCTGAGATATAAGCAAAATTCGGAACTTCAGTTGGTCTTCGAACTCACCAAGATCATTCCGGTTGACGGATGGGTGCTCAAAGCACCGTTTTTATTTTCATTCTACACGACCCAGTCTTCACGTCTACTGTGCGGATCTCAGCATTTCTCACATTCGATTCGTTTCCTCGCATCCATTGACCACGAAGACGTTCCAACTTTTACGTGTGGCTTCGGCTGTTGCTTGACGATTTTCATTTCACCTGGAATGTCGTAGAACGCTGGTCGAGTGGATTTTCCCTGGAGTCTTGAGATAGTTGGGATGGAGTGTTCTCAATTGGATTACGGAGAGTGATTTTTTCCCGGACAATGCCGGCACCAATCTCGTGACACCAGAATGATGAGAGGGTTGGTGAGCCCGAAGCGATACCGAACTTGCACCGTGCTCATGATGATAATACCGTAACGGTACGAAAATGGCCGAGAGAAAAGCAAAGCAAGGGACTCGGTTGGTATGATGATATCACATGAGCCCCAGGAAAGGGTAATCGTATCTTGTCATGAAAAAGAGGGTGGTCAGAGGATAGAAGATGAACTTTTGCAGAAGAGTTAGAGTTGCATGCATGAGATAAAACGGTGTGAAAGAAAACTACGATGACAAGAGCTGCCTGATATAATAAATGACTAAAGTGAACGAATTAACTAATCACAGCGTTTATTCCAAGAAAAAACGACGAAATATGATTTTGCAGCGTGCGTCCGTCTACCTGATAAAGAGGCGACAAATACCGTATGCTTTCGAATCAGGATATTTTACCATGAAAATCTGACAGCGACAAGGAAATTGTCATGACCGACTGTCTATTAACCTCGGCACCGGTCCAGCAATTTTTTATACTCTTGTCGAGAAAACACGAGGTGTTATATTATTTCTTTATTTATGTACAAGCTGACGTTTCGGCGGATTTCACCTTCCTCAGAGCCTGGAGAGGTCAAGTTGATCGCAATCTACCCGGCCAAACAGCTCCATAACCAAACAGAGAAAATGCTAAACCAAGGTTTCAATAATATTGAACACAGAGTAGCTTCTTTGCACACTCACCGCTTTCTATGAGTCTTCTTCCACTGAGTATGTCGCGTGGAGACCAACCGCACAGAATTCACATGGAATCGTAATGTGCCCATCCCATCAGAATAGCTGGCTTATATACTGTCCAATATCACGCGTGATAATGAGGCATTCCTCCCCGTGGTTCATTTTCGGATTTTTGGATTTGATCCAGTACGCCTCGAGAGTTTTGCGCGCTTGTATTTTCAATTCCTGTGCGACCTATATGGAAAGTTTTCTAGAGGCTTCATCATTTTTTACGAAGAATAATTTGATTACTCAAGAAGACCTAGATTTGTAAATTTAGCACGAAATTTCAGGATGTTGGAGAACTCGTAAGAATGAAGCCGTGTGGTAAAAGTACATTAGTAGGTAAAGGCGGGAAACCATCAACAACAAAACAGATGTTAGAAATAAGACGAAAAGAAAGGCCAGCAGTACCTGCGAGGACTTCATACGCCAAGGAAAGCTAGAGTTTAAAAAGTTGACGTGACCAATAATGTCCGCAAATTCACACCACTTCACTACACTTTCGTTAATCTTGCTTTTCTGTGAAGTACATGACTGGTTGTCGCAGAAAGTTAGGAAGTACACGAGATGGTCTGTTCCTCTAAATGTTGCACTCGTTAGAATTTCATAAGTTCTACTTAGCATTTCCGGTTCTTGGGTGGTCAGGATTGTCCGGATTGGCTGCTGGCTCAGATAAGCGAATGCTCGAAAGTGGTATGTATTTTTGGAACATTAAGGAATTGACTTACAAGAAGTTCTTTAGAAGTCTTTTCTTAAAAGGATTTTGTGTCATTTATGGTTGCCATCCTACAATTTCTCCCAATTTGCCGCCTCATCGTGGTTGGGTGTTGCTTGGTGTCGGACTGCGATGTAGAGTAACGGATTCATCTCCCTAACAGGGTCTACCAAACTGAGAAGAAATCCGGCGCTTTCATCAGGAAGCCCAGCTTAGAGTAAACCAATACCAGGATCACCGTCCTAGTACTAAACTAGTCGCATGGTGGTGGCAAATCTCCCTCTGACCCATTAAGGGCGGTGACCGCTTGTGGTGGTGACAATGGGACAGGGGCAGACTGGCCAGGCTGACGTTCCCGAAAAACAAAGTAGCTAAACCATCAAAACTCCGAAAAATGGAGATAATGTTGGAGCCCGCACTACCAGTGAATACGGGCCATCCAAGTTTCCAAGTAAGCGATCCTACAATCAATTCACTGATTTACCTGATGTGTGTATTGGAAACAAGTCTATCCCAGATGTCATCCCATTGTTTCAGTCATCCGTCAAGTTCAAAGGACTATGCCAGATCTCCGTGAACTTTATCTTGAATGATAGAACATCTGACCAAGATCTGGAGCGATTTGTTAGTGAGCATATTGGTGAGTCAGTAAAAACTAAAAGAAATGTGCCAGTGATCCTTAGTGTCATAGACGGGTACGGGAGAATCTTATTAGTCCATTGAAACGTTGTATTTGGTTATTTGAATGCTCGCGTGAAAATTGCTTGAGGTGTACCTAAAACACTATTTGATGTTCGCATCACCAAATCCAGAGGCGAGTGTAGCACAATCATTAGAGAGAGGTCCCCTGCAGCACGTAAGGATCGATCCCGCACCCCAGGCTCACCAATTCCTCCGTCCCTCCGCAGTCGGCTAATTGGTACTAGACTTGTCTTGGAGGATAGCAACTCTGTCTCGATACACCGATAGGCCACTGCGAGTATAGGCCGGACATGTATCCAGTCATCTCTAGCGATACTTGATAGAGTCGAAAGGAAGGTGCAACCTTCAGAGATTGATAAGAGCCGAGAGCTTTATGCTTTATACTTTAGTGACCTTTTACAGAATCGTCTGATGTCAAGAGACTACTGTACTCCATTTCGTTTATGATGAAGAATGCTGCTTCATATAACTGTGATGCCAAACATTTCGAAACAGAATGCACTCACTTAGGATTACCTTCTGGTCAGTTTCCTGACGGTATTAAAATTCAAAAAACCAACTTTCTGTTAACCTCGGCATAAATGATCGATATGTTGATTCATAACATCTTATGAACTGATCTTCTTGAGCTGATGCGAGGTTGGTATGGCTGTCCTTGTTGTTGTTGTGTTCCAACCTCGCATCGGCTCAACAATATCAGTTCATAAGAACGTATAAACAGATATTGAAGTTCTTCTAACACATATTTTGGGTGAAGTCAAGTCACTAAATGGGGTAACCTTGGTGTTTCAAGAACATAGCAAGGTTATCGCCCGCGTATACACTGCGCATATTGATGTTCTGAAGCAAAACGTGAAGGATAGCATTCCAAAAGGTCAGCTTAACAATTTATTTAAGTATTCATTGTTCGAGTGAAGTGAGCAGAGATTTACAGAGATGCCAATTGAGTCTGTTGCTGTAGATGAGATTGGATCCACAGCATCTCTAAGATATGTTAGAGATGGAGAAACAACTATTTGTAGTCTTACACTAGGACAGCTCTCTTCATTACGACAAGGTGGTTGTTTCCAAAACTTAGAACTCCCAGATGTGTAAGTAGTTTAGAACGACTTTTCTTCCAGATATGTCGCTCATTCAGAACATTATCGAGGCGAAATTTAAGCAATGACTACAGTCCGGACTGGATCATTTGTTTGCTAAGAAACTACAGGTTTTCAGAAAATACCAAAGTTGACACAAACCTACTTTGTACCTGCTAAACAATGCGAGTTTGGAAAAACAGCTGTAGGACTTTGTTTGGTTTCTAGAGCCGACATTCATCTAACATCGTTATGCATGATAACTTTGTTGGTCATTCTTGATGCAAACTGCTTCCACTCCTGCCTTTGCATCAAATATTCAGTACCGGCACACCCTATTTTACTCTTCTGTGCGGTTCTGAGCATGCTGTTGATTTGTATAAAATGAAGAATTCCGAGAGGAACCTTACCACATAAAAATGGTAACATAAATCTTTTCAAGCGATAGTCTGAATTTGAAACTTTAGGAACCACTTATTTATGTTCAAAAAGACTCATAAGATGGTACAAAAATATCTCGAGTGATCATGAGAACTTAAAAAGATGAAGAACATTCGAGAGACTGTTCAACGAAAAAATGGGCTTCATTAGTTATCAAGATTTTTTCACGTGAGAAAATACAACCGTTACTATTTTTCGCACACATAAACTATGACAACATTATGATGAACCGTAAAACTACGCAGAAACAGAAAGTACATATCGGAGAGAAACATTGCTAGACTAAGATTTTGTTGCTACTCCTAGACTGTTTATGTCTAGAAGACAATCCACCAGTCATACACATTATACTGTCATTTGGTAACACTATCCAATTTCTGGATAGTTTGCTGATTTTACAGACTGTTGACCATCTCGCGCAGCTGTGTCACGGAAGCACCACCGCGGGCCGCTTCTTTGATCGCAGCAATTGCAATCCGTTTACGACTCGCAGAGTCGAAAAAGGTAGTACTTGCATCATATGCATTCCTCACTACCTGAAACGATGACGAAAATATGCATAAAAAAGCAAGAAAAGATTTCCAAAATTCACAGGATCTTTACAATTGTGCAAACCTCCGGCTTTACGCCTGCTAATCTCGCAGCGAAGAAACCATAGGATTTTGGGCAAACGCCATCGGCAAGACGGTAAAGGAATGTGACACACTCCTCCGTTGGATTTGCTTCATCTTCATTTTCCACCATACATGCCTAGAAGAATATCCACTGCATAGTGGATAATACAAAAGACGTTACTGATGTTTTAAGATCTAAATTTTCAACAGCCGTGATCGTATACTCACCATATGTGCCAAGGTGATATTTGAATTAATAGTAGCAGATTTGCAAAGTGAGTGGTAATGAGTGGAGAAGAATGAACGGCATTGTATTCTACGTGACAAATGTGACAGAACAGCTGATGCGATTGCCGTACCATCAAAGGTGCTAAAAGAAGGTCAAAATGACATCATGATAGAGCACAGTTACTATTTCCACAGCTACTGAACAATATTATGCTTTACTGTTATAAGATCCTTCAAACGGCTCACCGCCTCATTGCGGTTGAAAAGTGTTCCTGGATGCTAGGCTGCGATGTACAGCAGGGGATTCATCCTCTGGCAGGGTCTCCCGAGCTGAGAATGAGTCCGGCGTTTCCATCAGGTAGCCTAGCTAAGAGTAAACCAATACCAGGATCCACCGCCATCCTGGTATCAAAGTCGCATGGTGGCAAATCTCCCTCTGCTCCACAAGCGTGGCGACTGCCTGTGGTGGTGATGACCTGGGGCAGACATTCGCTAGGCTGACCTCGGGACTCCAGGGAACCACAATGGCTAAAGCAGCAAAACTCCAAAAAGAAAAAAAAGTGGAACTTATGCTGGCGCCCACAAAACCAGTTAAGACGGGCCGTCCAAGTATTCAAGTAAGTAATGTTGTAAGATAAAGAACAGGCATACCTTGTTCCTCTGCCAAGTTCATCAATAAGGACAAGCGAATGCTTTGTTGCGTTACGAAGAATAATGAGTGTCTCTCGCAATTCAACGAAGAAAGTGGATTGTCCTGAAAATACAGAAAAGTCCGGAAATTCCTCTTGGAACCCGCAGAAAAGCTGCATGCTAGGTCTTTGTGCTGCAACATATTCACCAAGAATCATCACGAATGATAAAGGGAAACCTCACCACAGATAAGCCTGTCGTTGGCACCGATTCTTGTGAAAATTCTGTCAACAGGCGTTAAGCGCATTGACCGTGCTGGTACGAAGGATCCCTAGAAAAAAGACAAGATGATATAGCGTTCGTCTCATCAATAAACATTTAGGAGAAAGCCTCACCATATGAGCTAGAACAGTCAGAACTGCAACTTGCCTCATAAGCGTGGATTTACCGCCCATGTTCGGACCAGTTAACAAGACGACTGGTGGGTGAGCGCCACCAAGAAACGAGTCATTTGCTAAAACAAATTTCACAGTAAGAACTCGATCAAGCTTAGCAGAAGGGCAGCGGGTTAAGTCATGAGTTTACCAATGTACGTAAAAGTAGCCGTAGTATCGTTGGTTGGCAATTTCGTAGCTAAGCACGGATGATATCCTTCTTTAATGGACAACATAGGCTAAAAGAATAGGTTGGCATTCACAATTCCTGCAATACAACTGTTTTTGATTACCTCGCTGGAGTCATAGACAAATTCTGGACGGCATAGTGCGAGCCCACATGTCTGGCAATATCGCGCCAACGACAAAAGAACGTCTACTTGCGACACGCGATTTACCACGCCTGTCCAGATATGCCTTCTAAAACCAATCTCAATCATGAAATTTTTTCCGCTCTTCCTCAATAACTTTACGACAGACATTTACACTAAACCTTCGTTAATTATGTTATTAAAGAGTCGGGATAACCTGCTGTCAAAATCAGAAAATACTCTTCGAGTAGCGTCTTCTATTTGCAAGTCTTTATATGCCTCCGCCTTTATAACCTCTTCAATTAATTCCTCAAGTTCTTCAGTAGAATAGCGGTTAAAACCCTAAATAAGTAAGATTTAGAGGTATGATGTTGTTACGAAAGACATGATATAACATAAAGCTAAAGTTAAATAAACCACACCTTTCTACGGGATTTAAACTCATAGTAGCGAGGTGGATTGACGCTCTCCGGGATTTCCATCTGGAATCTGTTTTTTCCACTGCCAAAATAGGTAACCTACAATTATATCGATAAAATGATAAAGGATAGAGTGTTCGGCGTTGATCAATCTCTAAAGGATGCGCCATGCATTCGATTTAATCAAGTATCGCAGAGGTGACTGAATGTACGTCTGGCTTTAACAATGAGTTGCAATGGCCTGGCAATGTACGAAGTCAGTGCTACTATTTATCCAGATGAATCTGATAGCAATTTGCCAAACCATGATGGACAGAAAGCTTGGTGAGCCCGGGGAATGAGATCAAACCAACGACCACATGTGTATTGCAGGGCAGTTCTAACCACCACTGAATTATACATGACATTTAGTATAGTGATAGAAACGCCTTATTTGAAAAGGATACCTTTTCAAATAAGATATGTGGAGTGATACCTTGCAACGGAGTTTCTCCTCTTGCTCTTTCCTAAAAGCTTCCAAATCGTGCATTGCCTTGTCGACATTTCTACAAGCATTATCGTACTCAAAATCTAGTCCTTTTTGAGGAGTGATCATTCCTTCTTTTTCCGCCAAAGAATGGTCAAATAACTTCTAAAAACTTGGTTGAACTGAAATCGAAATGGAGTTCCAAAAAAAAAATTTCCTTTATGTGAAAGATAGAGTACCGAAAAATGGTTCAAGTGAGAATCCAAGTCGTCTCCGTCGTCACGACCAAGACATTGATCTAGTAGACGACACCTGAAAAATGTGTTTTCCACAACGGCATTTCTTCAGAGATGGTTAGTAATCCATGTCGTCAACAGCTTACCCCTCGCTATGCTTTCTAAACCTTGTATATATCTCAATAAGGTCACTGCATGCTTGGAAACCAGCAAGTGTGCTAAGGAGATCTTTGATCTTTCGCTTATTGTAGCTCACAGCCTCGAACAGCACCGCACGACCATCGGGATGTGACTCTGTGCGATATTTTAAACCCAGTGTATGGATCCTAAACTAATACAGAAGAATCCTAATGGAATAACACAGAAGACATAGAAAAGAGAACAGAATTCAAACAGCATCAAAGATCACTGGTCTAAGAAACTCACTTCTGCAAGAGTCTTTCAAGATCAGGCATTTTGCGCAGTAACTCGCCTATTTCTTCCATAAGCCGTACATTTGCGGGTGACATCAGAAATTCAATTGCATCCTGACGTTCTTTTAAAGTCGTCAAGTGGCAAATAGGAGAACAAATCCACTGATGAAGCATTCTCTTCCCTTAAATCAGATCTTAACAAAGACAACCAAGTGCTTGTATTACTAAGCGCTTTTTAAAGACGTCTCGTTAAGGGAAAGCTCCATAAAACTGACTTGATGTAAAATACGAAAGAAACTGCTCACATATGGACTGAAAACTTAGGACAACTTGCAAAAAATAATCTTTTCGTAGTTAAAACACGAATTAACTTGCTAAATTGTTCTCGAGCGGTCAGCTATACATTTCAGCCACAGGAATAACCGTTGTTCTGGAGGAATTCCAGTCCTTAGGTTGCAAATCTCCCTTTGGTAAATAAGATCCGGAGACCACCATTGCTGAAGAATGGGAACGCTTCCAGGCAATGTACGCCCAACCAGCCATCAAAACATCAATTAGGAGGAAGGAAAGAGATTTCGAAGTTACAGCTTAACTCATGTGAAAATCTTTCATAATTTGTTAGAGAACAAAAGCTTTGTGACCCACATGACAACACGGGTCATCAAAGTAATAAAAAAAAAACCGGAACACGTACATATGCCGGTTAATAGTTGGTCGATTCGGCACTCCAGTTAAATACTGATATAGCTCCAATGGTTTAAAGTGAGATTAAATGAGATTCTTATACGAGTAAAAAGTAGCTAAACTCACCAAATGAGGTCTGGCACTTGTTTAAAGTGCTATAGAGTGAAAGTGATGCTGTTTGTAAGTCGCGATTATCGCCAGGAATAAGATTGAGATTCTCCAGTGTGATTCCATCAAGTATCATTTGGCGATTTGACCATGTGCTTTCACTACATTCTTCTTTCGAAAAGTGTTCAATGGGTTCGAGCCGCGTAAAGTCACGCATAGTTATCATATCTACATCGATTAGGCAGCGCTGCAGGTAGCTGAAAGTATAAAATATTAAAATGAAAATTCGAATGCCGACGTAGGTAGCGTAGTGGTGGCAATGGCACTTAACACGCACAAAACCCTCGTTTCATTCCACCCCATACCTACCAGGACTCTCAACTCTCCGGAGTCGGGACATTAGCACCAGACTTGTCTGGTATTAACTTCCTTCAAATCCACGTAGGAACGCTGCAGCACGGCTACTCCATGATTCAGCGCAGAACCGACTCGACAAGAATTCAAAAACGCTCATAACAGAGATCAAGATTGCTCAAAGAGAAGCCGAAGAAGAAAAGACGAAATCGAAGTCCTTCGTGGATGATGGTTGCGAAGAAACAGATGGGATGTAAAAAGTGTTGAGGTCCTCACGGTAGATGTGAAGGAATGGGTCGTGTAAAAAAAGCCAAAGTACTGCTTCTGCATACAAACTCACTAAAGCACGGCTCCGAGTGCACTTACTGCTAACATGGAATTCTTGTTTGGCTTCGCTACAATGGAGTCTTGATCCAGCATGTTTCGCAAAGTTCCAGGCCAGGTGGAAAAATCAACTCCAAGATATTTATCGTTAGATAACTGAAAACAATCCATTAAAAAATTTGTGAAAAGTCCAATTACAAAAGAAAAACAAACCAGTTTCACGGTTTCCTCTGCATCTAGGAACTGCCTCTTAGGTATCAAACCCTCCTTCTGCACTGAGTTTAGTACGCCATTTAGAATGATCTTACAATGTGTGGATAGGTTCCCTCTTTCGAATAATACCTGTTATTTATATTCGTTCACCAAGAAGGCAAAATATTCGCGCAACAAGTTCGAGCAAGCTTACCTGTGCAGGTGTAAAGTTGGCAATTAGTGTACGCAAATAAGAAGAGTAATCATCGTCAAGAAATTCACCAACAAAAAATTTCCCCACTGAAGTATCGACGAGACATATTCCGTATGTAGGTTCATGATCATAAGCCTGCAAAACAAGGATCTCTCATGAGACGAAAGTCAGAAACAATCAAGAAAAGTGGTAAATAAAAAAGGATAAATCAAAAGACCGATTTTCTATAAACGTCGGCATAGATAGTAGATATATTTATTTATATGATCGTATAAACTGATCTTCTTTAGCTCATGTGAAGGTTGGTATAGGTCATCGTTGTCGCTGTCGTTGTTGTTGATGTTGTTGGTCGATGGCTGACGTTTAGGCGGTTTCGCCTTAGAGTCAGATCTAGACGTATTTTGTATAAGAATACTTCAATTATTCGGTGGAAAAAAAGGTTAAAGTATAAATGAAGATCAAACTTTGAAATATTGAACAGAAAGGCTCCTCACCGTGATGTTACGAGTGGAACTGGCCCACGCTTTCTTCACGTGGGGTCGCGAGAAAGACACACCCCGGGATCAAGATATCACTTTGAAATAAGGCACCAGGTCACGTGTCATAGTGAGGCATTCTTCTTTCCGGTTCCTTTTTGGATTTTTGAAATTTATACAAAACGCCTCAAGAGTTTTGCGCGTTGATGTTTTCGATTCCTGGGCTAGGATCCACACGGTCACTTAAAATCATCGCCGTTGTGCATTTGTGCCCTATGCGTACCTAGGGGACTGTTTTTACGAATTTTAACTCTCCCGTCCAAATAAACCTATCAAGTAGCGGTTACCTGACAAAGTGGTATCGAAAGCCAAGTAATAAGAACATCCTTGTTCATTTCCTTTCTTCCCACCCTTCACACACAAAGAGGGCGATTGTGAGAAACATGTTTCGAACAGCCACCTCTGTGTGCACTAGCAGGGAACTAAAGGAAGAATCGCGCGACTTGGCTCGGCAAATAGCCATCTTCAATGGCTACGAAATAGTAACCCCACGAGATAAGTTTACAAGGAGAACGACGCACCCACGCGAAACACTTGGCCAAAAGAAAGTCCCGTTCATGTTGCCCTTTATAAGCGATGAAGTAAGTGTAGCTATAAAACGATGATTAAGAAAGGCGGGTCTAGAGGAATCGGTAGCGATAGTCGAAATACCACCGGATACTCTACGTCGTCAGTTAGTTCGTAACCGTCTGTATGACCGTCTATGTGAAACACAAAATTGCGTAATCTGCCTTATGGCAGGGACGGTGACTGCATGAGTTCAGGTACGATATACCTGATCTCTTGTAACAATTGCGGAGATGAGTATATTGGCGAAACGGGCAGACCTTTGTGTATCCGCATAAAAGAACACCTAGATGGCAAACGAAAATCAAAACAAGGCACGCATAGGGAAAAAATATAATACAAAAGCAATAATATATATATATATATATAAATACAAAAGCATAGCGGAGACGATTTTGATGTAAAAGTCGCTATCATTGCACGGGAGACTAAAACACCAACGCCCAAATTTCTCGAGATAGAGTTTTCCGCCTTTTTATAAGTGTTATTGAAGCGTTTGGCCTAGTAGATTGTATATCAGTATACCCTTCCAGGCTCTAAAGAAGGCGATACTGCCGAAACGTCAGCTAGCGTTGTATTGTATTGTGTTTTTTATGGAAGTAAATGTATGTTGTTTAAAAACCTCGCGATTGCTGAACAAGAAAACGACACATTTAACTTTCCCATTTAGATGTTCTTTTATGCGGACACAAAGTGGTCTACCCGTTTCCCCGATGTATTCCTCGCCGCATGCATTACATGAGATCAAGTATATTATGCCTGAACTTATGCAATCCCCGTCTCTTCCGTTAGGACAGATCATACAGTTTTCTGAGCTGCACAAACGACCATAGAGACGGTTGCGAACTAACTGACGTAGGGTATTCGGTGGGAAGTCAATAATCGTTGCATAATTTTCAAGACCACTTTTCTTAAGCATCTCGTAATGGCGTAACTTACTTCGTTTGATATGAAGAGTAGCTTAAAAAGGATCTTACTTACGTATCAAACATTATTTTGAGGAACTACCCTACGTTTTTGTCTAATCCGAGTGGCTATTTTTCGTGCCGGGTTTAGCGATTTTTTCCTTGCCTCTTCTCCTGTGCACACATTTTTAGCCGTATGGTACATGTTTTTGATAAGCGCTTTTTTCATGTGTGAAATCACAGCAGAAAAAGCAACTGAGATCTGGATTCTATTTTTAAACATCCAAATAAAACTGTAAGAAAGTGGCTATATAACAAAATTGTATCGCAACAAGTAGTAAAAGTGTACTAGTTCACTATCTCTACTCATCCTTCACACGTGAAAAAAGCACTTCCCAAAAATATGCACCGTACGCCTAAAAATGTGTGCAGAGGAGAAGAGGAAAGGAAGGAATCACTAAACTGGCACGGAAAATAGCCATTTCCAATGGTTACGAAGTAGAAGCCACTTAGGTTAGAGAAAAAAGTAGGGTACTTCCCCAAAATAATGTTTCAGACGTAAGTAAGATCCCCTTTAAGCTACCCTTTTTAAGCTACCCTTCATATCGAAGGAAGTAAGTTACGCCACTAAGAGATGCTTAAGAAAAAGTGGTCTTGAAAATTATGCAACGATTACTGACATCTCACCGAATACCCTACGCCCTCAGTTAGTTCGAAACCGTCTCTATGATCGTTTGCGCAGCTCAGAAAACTGTATGATCTGTCCTAACGGGAGAGACGGGGATTGCATAAGTTCAGGCATAATATACTTGATCTCATGTAATGCATGCGGCGAGGAATATATCGGGGAAACGGGTAGACCACTTTGTGTCCGCATAAAAGAACATCTAGATGGAATAGCTAAAATCCGTTTAAACACTCCTCTAGGTACGCATAGGGCAGAAAAGCACAACGGCGATGATTTTAAGTGACCGTATGGATCCTAGCGCAGGAATCGAAAACATCAACGCGCAAAACTCTTGAGGCGTTTTGGATAAATTTCAAAAACCCAAAGAGGAACCGGAAAGAAGAATGCCTCACTATGACACGTGACCTGACGCCCTATTTCAAAATGATATCTTGACCCCGGCGTGTGTCTTTCTCGCGACCCCACGTGAACAAAGCGTGAGCCAGTCCCACTCGTAACATCAGGGTGAGTGGCCTTTTTGTTCAATATGGCCTCTATTTCAAAATTTGATCTTCATTAATACTTTGGCCTTTTTTTTATCGAATAATTAAAGTATTCTTATATAAAATACGTCCAGGCCCCGAGGAAGACGAAATCGTCTAAACGTCAGCCATCGACCAACAACACCAACAAGAACGACGACAACGAAAACCTATACCAACCTTGCATAAGCTAAAGAAGATCAGTTTATAAGATCGTATAGATAAAAAAGGATAAAGTTCTCGGCGTTGAACAATCCCTGAAGGATGCGCCCCGTATTCGACCTCATCAAGCACTGTTGGATATGATCGAACGCATATCTGGCCTTTACAACAACTCGCGGTGGCCTACTGATGTATCGAACCAGTGATGCTATCCTCACAGACAAACCTGTTACCAATTTTCCGATCCTGGGAGATGGAAGGCTTGGTGGGCCTGAGGCGTAGGGGTCGATCTCGTGTCTATTGTAGGGCGCCTTTGACACCTGCGCTATGCGCGCCCAAATGAAAAGACAGAAGTAATGTTACCTTACCACAGATTAATAATTGAAAACGTACACCTTCTTTGATACTTAGTAGGTATTTCGACTGAGATTCTCCATTATCTGTTTCTCCACTGGAAGTACTGCATCCATCAATTACCGCATACGTCCGCGTTGCACTTGTCGTGACACGACAGATTTCTCTGCAACGGATGACATCTATGAAACCATTTTTGAATGCATATTTTAAAACACGTTGAGACGCACTAGTAGGCAATTTACTTCTTCCAATTTCTCGTTTCCTTCACGTATGACCAAAGGAAACCATGATCCACCCTGTCCTGATATCAAACTAGTCAAATGGCGGCAACTCACTTTCTGATCCACAAGGGCGGTGACTGCCTGTGGTGGTGACGACCTGGGCAGACTTTGGCCTGGATGACCTCGGGACCCCAGGAAATCATAATGGCTGAACCAGCAAACTCCGGAAAAATGGAGACTATGCTGAGGCTTACACAACCAGTGAGGGCGGTCCATCCAAGTATCCAAGCAAGTATGACTGAGGAACCGAACATCCAGTTTCTTCATTTTTTTTTAAATAAAACAAAGAGCCATTACTAACAGATAATGGGAAAATCTAAAAATTTTACAAACTTATTATGAAAGCCTAGCTTTATCGCTCTAAAGGCATTTACAATTTTTTCGGAACGCTATTTAATTTTTGTCGGAACTTGAAATACTTAGTCTTAGAAGAAACCCAGAATTTCAGTTTCTAACCGCATGTGCAACATAAGCAATCATAAGCAACCCTTTTCTGTACATCATAACGCATTAAGGACGCGTGCAGCGCAGTGCTCAGAGACAAGACACATGGGATCGACCTCGGCACCCGTTTTTCATCTCTCCGGAGACGCCAAATTGGTACCAGACTTGTCTGGAGAACAACAACACTGGCTCGACACATCGGTAGGCCACCGTTGATCATTATAAAGGCCATGTATGCACTCAATCACCTCCAAACGATGCTTGATGAAATCGAATGCATGGTGCATCCCTATGGGCTTAATCAACGCTGAGAGCTTTATTTATTTACTATTGTTATTCTACGGCGTTTTTGGACAAAATCCCTTTTGATACAAGGTCGCTGTTCGAAAGATGACCCTCGGTAGAAAAGAAATTGTGAAAAACTCTCCTTGTTCCCAAAGATAGTAATTCCATGGGTTTCAGAAAATGAGAATCTAAGTTGTGGTAAGAGAAGTTGTTGTTTTTTGAAGAAAAAAGTTTTGCAGAATCCTAATCTTCTATTCCAATCATGATATATCATAACGAGATGATATATGCTTGTTTAAAGTTGAAGAAAGCAATCGCCTTTTCCTACACACATCATTTGAACCCGATTCGTATAATCACTGCCATCATGCGTTCATTATCCGGACATGTTTAACAGTGAGTTTCCCAATTTTTTAATTTGAACATAAACCTTCTTCAAGGATATAAGAAATCACATATCTGAAGCATTGTTAGCCTCAAATGAAAAACTATACAACTGCCAACAACGACGATGAGTTATTTCCAATACATACATCCGGTTCCAAAAGAGCATAATAGATATGAAACCTTCGAAAAACCATACGCATCTACTATAGCTCCACACCGAACTCACGTTTCACAGGAATCACTAAGAGTTTGGTCTTCGATAAGCGAACAAAGATTACGAATAAAAGAATAAAGCTATCAGCGTTGATCAGTACCCGTGCGAGCACAATACATTCTAATTCACAAAACAATATGAGGAGACTGGATGCAATATCTAGCCTTTAAAATGACTTCCGGAAGTCTGCCGATGTACTGAGTCAGTGCTACTATTCAACTAAACAAGTGTGGCACTAATTTGCCGACCCCGGATGGATGGACGGCTTGTTAGGTGCGGCGATGGGACCAAACCAGCGAACACGTGTGTATTGCAGAACGACCTTCAATTTGCTCTCCCTCTCCAATGCAAACACAGACTACTTTTATAAGAGCTAAAATACAGTACGGAATATAGTTGGAACGTACCGGCGCACCACCTTGTCCTTGCCAAAACCTGCATTACGATTTCGTTCCTCTAACTGTTGAGGTGTTTCTGTCTGTTCAATGCGAGCGACTTTATAGCCACGTGAGACTAACTGATCAGCGAATTTACCATAGGCAGCTTCAGGAAATCCAGCGTGAGCAAACGCGCCCTAAAAAGGCACAGTTATCGCGACAAAAACAAACGAAAATAAAGTAACGAAAGAAAAAATGGAACCAACCCTCATGAACGTCAGGCCTAGACAATCCACTGCGATCACGGCATCCATGTGATATAACTCATAAAACTTCCCCACTTTGAATAACAATAAAGTGTCGAAATTCTTGCTCTTCATTGTCCACCACTGCTTGTGACCAAAAATGGAAGAACAATAGAAAAAAAAATTAGAAGCTCACAACAGGTATAAAAAAAGAGTAAAGGACTTGCAAATTGGTAAACCAACTTCTGTTGCCTTTTAATAAACAAAAGGGTGGGGGCGAATAGTTCAATATTCGTGACGCTGTGCATTGCCAGCGAGGTGCTGGCTCGAATTTAGGCTTATCAAGCCTTTCCTCCCACGAGATCGCGAAATTAGTACCAGTCATGTTTGTGATAACACCACTTCCTCCAATCCACATCAGAACGCCCCCAGCACGGCTATCCCAAGATTCCAAGAAGAATTTTCTCCATCAGCACTCATAACATTCATAAAAGAAGACTAAACTGCAGCCAAGTCCAAATGCAAAAGTCCGGAGACCTTCGGAATGGTGATTTCGAGGAAACGACTCGAATGAAAAAGTGCTGGGACCCCCGGAATACACATAAGGAATGGTCATATGAACACAAAAACAAGAAACTTTGATCGACATGAACACATTGTTTCCACTGCTCATCAAAATTTAGCACGTCATAAAGTCATCACAATTTTCAATTTAGGAAAGGCATCAGTACAAAATTCGAGATTCTATCCGACGTCAAACTTAAGGGAGATGATAACCACAAGAGGTTTAACTTCCTAGAGGCTGCGATTCAGTCATCAACATCGTAGTTCCGTTATGGTAATCTAGCAGCAGAAACTTAGCTCATTTTTTAAAAGAAGGACTCATTCAATGAATCTTTTGTTAAAACGCCTACCAGGTGTTTGCTCCTTAAGGAAGTCCGCTGGTACAAAAAGTGTACTGGGGTCGTAGTCCTCTACATCAGGACGACGACCTTGTGCATCGCGAATTTTCTCTGGCTAAAACGTCCCCATAGAAACAACAGAAAAAAATATTTCAGTATTTTATACTAAAAAAGTTATATTCTTTACTATAGGCGTAAAGTTCCTTGATCAGCTCCAGCTGAATATGATGTTTTTTTTTTTTACAGAATCTAAGACTTCTATAGTTCTAAAAAGGATTACTGCAGAATTACCTTCAAGAACGGAAAGGTCTCATGTACGAACTTATCGTGTTCAAGACTAGATAACTTAGCACTCCGCGTATTATGATTGCAAGGATCTAGCTGGTAAATTGTACGGTCCAAGGTATCCAGTGACGCCGTGGAATCATTCTAAGAAACAGGTACAACAATTATTAGTAAATAAACACGCTAAGACAGCTGTGCGTAAAGAGGGTTAACTTAACGCATAAATGGCTAAAGGTAGAAAAAGGAAATCACACGATCGATTGAAATATTGACAAGCCATTCATTCAACATGGAACAAACACACTTACCCAGTTCTCTTCTATGCGGAAGGAGTTAATAAATGATTCAGCAGCGACTGTTGATAACGGGCTTAAAGACCGTTTGTGTGGGCGTGATCTTAGCGCCGATTTTGGAGTCGAAATCTGAGGAGCCACAGAAATTGGTGAAGAGTTAGGATTCTAAAAATATCAGTAATTTAGAAGCAGACGCAGGTAAACCAAACGCACTGTGAAAGCATCTGCCAGCAACTCTAAACACGTTCGCAACCATTTGGATGTATAACCGCAAATGATTCTTTGACAAGTGTAACACGTGGGGAATGGGAATATGGCAACGCTACAGAACAGACCTAACCATGCAGTTTTAAAAGCAGTGTACCTAAAATACTACTTTTAGTTTCCCTTTCCACTATTAAAAAGCTCGATGCACTTACAAGCACAAGAACTAATTTCAAGGTACACATAGCATTATAGACAACACACAACGGTTTCAAGGTGTTTGCTCGCCGACTGTTTCCTTGCCGCAAAACCTTTCCATGCGTTCTTCAAGGCATCTAGTAAACAAGTGTTACATACATTATTGAACCATAGCATTTTAGAGCGTATGGCTTAGTTAATTACTCACTATGTAACATTTCTTTCAGTCCGTACTTACAACGATTTCAAACTAGGCCAAACAATGGTCTCAAGTCGGAAAAACCGCTTGGTTCTGCTTCGTAGGCTCAAAACTGGTCGTAAACCAACGACCTGTATCACCTGTGGTCCCTTTGATAGTCGAGAGACTCGAACGGGAGCCAGTAAATCTTCCATTTTTCCCTGTCGCGTGCAAGAGTAACCCAGTGGATTCTGCTCGCTCAAGGGCCTCGTCGAGCATCATATCTTCCTTCAAGGCTCCTTGTGAAGAACTCTGACCATCGGGTTGGCGGTCTTCTTGCAGTACGTTTGACATCCCGAGGAATCCAGTCACTAACGGCTCCTGCCCATCGGTTGTCATTTGTACACACTACATGCCCGGCCCATCTTTTCTTCGACTGTTTAACGTAAAGAACGGCATTTTTGCTTCTTGGTCGTTGACGCTGGCTGGAGCTTCTGATCCCTTTCCTTACTTGCGCAACACGGGATACTCCAAGCATCGCACTTTCGGCTGCGCGTTGGATAACGCTGAGTGACCTTTCATCCTGCTTACGCAACGACCAGGTTTCTGACGCATACGTTAGAGCAGGAAGTACCGCTTAGTCGAGAAAGTGGGCACGGAGTCGGGTGTTCTTTGTTCTCTTCACTACATCCTCGATGGTCTTGAAAGCTCCCCAAGCCGCTCGTTTTCCCCTGCTCAACTCTGGAGCTAGGTCGCTCACCATATTGATTTCCCGACCTAAATAGATATAACTGAAGCATTCGGGGATATTCGTTCCGTTGAGCGTGAATGGGGTATGCGAAGCCAAGCCATTCTTCAAGAACATCGATCGTTTTTGTGTAGTCGAAGACCAATCTTTCCACAGGCTTTATCAAAGTCGTCAACCACACGTTCCGCTTGAATAATGTTTGGTATTATAAGGGCGATGTTATCAGCAAAGCGAAGATGGTGTAACTGTCGACCATCGATTTTCACTCCCATATTATCCCATTCCAATATTCGCATGACGTTCTGGAGGGTGGCGGTAAATAATTCCGGCGAGGTAGTATCGCCTTGCCTAAATCCTTTTTTGACGTCAATGTTAATATCGTTACAGAATGGTGATATTTTGGTTGTGAAATTTTTGTACACCTCACGAAGAATCTTTATGTACTGAGTAGGGACTTCTTGACTATCAAGAGCTTTCAAGACTGTTTCTATCTCAACTGAATCAAAGGCCTTCTGTAAATCGATGAAAGTGAGACAGAGCGGTCTTTTGTACTCTCGCAATACTCAATGAGCCGTGCTACCGTGTGGATGTGGTCCACTCTACTAAATCCTCTTCGAAACGCTGCTTGCTCACATGGCTGTCCTTTGTCCAGTGTTCTGTCAATCCCGTTTAGGATGACTCCAGTAAAAGGTTTGTAGACGACAGACAGTAAGCAGATTGGGCGATAGTTGCCGATATCGTGTAGGTCACCATTCTTGAACAATAACACGATCTTGCTGGTTTTCCACTGAGTAGGGATCTTGCATTCAGACAGGTAACGTGTCAAGAGGCGAGCGGGGTGTTTACGAGGTCTGGCGGAAGGTTCTTCAGGTGTTCTGGTCTTATCCTGTCCGGACCTGGTGCTGTTCGATTTTTCATCGACGAAATGGTATGTCGGATTTCGAAAGGGAGAACCGGTGGTACAACATATCCATCCTCCTTTATTTCATGTGACGGAAGGTGGACGTGGCTATCGAAGAGATCCAAGTAGTATTCGCGAAATATTTTCTGTGGACGCTGTAACTGTTAAGTCTGGGCGCCGGAGTGCAATAATTTTGGTCTTGTAATTAGCGAAGCTTCGTTGGGCTTTGTGAATGCTTTTCGCAACCTCTGCAGCTTCGGCCATTACTGCTCCTCTTCTCTCTCTAAGATCTTCTTCTATCGCCTCTCTGCATTGTTTTGCAAGTTCGGACGTTAGTTCGCGGTTGCCTTCATCTCGTGCGATTCCACGCTAGCGTATCAGCTCGAGTGTTTCTGGAGACAGACGACTCTTGGTGACTTTCGCACTCTTGTTGAGTGAGCCGATCGCATTCTTCGTCGATGTTATCGACAACGGTATCTTCCGAGCAACCGACTAATGAATTGAATAAGTCCAAGTTTGCAGTGGTTCTGGGACTTCGGTTTTTGAATTTAGTGGCTTTTCCTCCTTTCCGTGAGAAATAGAATCTTACACGAAGGAGACAGTGGTCCGATCCTGTGTAGAATTTTGGGACAACAGCGACATCAGTTAGGCAAAACCTTCTATTTACTATGATGTGGTCCACTTCGTTATGGAACTCTCCATTGGGAGACTCACACGCCCAGCGTTGAGGGTGGGGTTTCTGGAATTGCGAATTACCATGGATTGTTTTGGTCAGCATGATAAATTCAGATAGCCACTCACCCTGTTCGTTCCATTCTAATCCCAATGGGCCCCCATGTGACGTTCCTCAGATGTTCTTCTTGGTCCAATCTTGGCGTTGAAACCTCCAATGATGATGTTGAAGAATGTGTGGTCTTCTCTGTAGAACTACTCAAATTCCGTATCGAACGCTTCGACTTCTTCTTAGTCATAGCTTGATGTCGGCGCATAAACGACGAAGATTGTCAAAGCCGGAATTGATCCACATCTTTTCAATCGTAAACGTCCGATTCGGGTTGTAAGTTGTTCGAATGAATTGATATTCATGGACAAACTCGTATTGACGAGAACGCCGAAGCCGCTGACTCCTCTACTGTCGCATGTTCCGAGGAACAGTTCTTCTCTGGTGTAATGGACGGCGTTGAAAGGCTGGCATCTTCTCGTCTTCGCCAGACCGATGACGTCGCACTTTATCCATCTCGTTTGCATGAGCAAGTCTTCTATCGAGGACTCGGATGCAAGTGTACGTGCACTGTAGGTACAGATCGTCATCATAGTTCTTTGAAATGCAGGCAGCTTCCATTGGCCCTGAGATTTTAGCAGCCTCTCCGTACTCGTCCTACGCAACGCCGCGAAATCGGGGGCTCTTTCGGGGTCAGGGGAATGTGGCCCGTTTTTTTTATTGCCAGGCTCT